CTTGACTGTGAGATGAAAGACCTGGACTTCACTCAAGGACTTACATCCTACCTCTTCATTTTTTATGCACTTTATGCAGGGACATGAACTGTCATTGGAACTGCACTTGAAATTCGAGTGATTCATCTCTTCCCTCTGCCATTTGAAAGAAGGGCTTTTTAAGCACCCGCTTTACAAACTATGATTACCAAGCAGGCCACTTAAGCCCAGGAGAAGCTGAAGGTTTAACCTACCCTTTCCAAGTGAGTTAAGCAGGTTCCCTATGAACTGACTTTGCAGCAACCCCCAGTGAGAGCACTAGATCTTGGGGGCCCACTGTGCACAGCCAACAGGTTCTTGGTCTGAGGAACACGAGAAATAGTTGTTGACATACAAATATAAATATTGTTATTTTCTTTTCTAAGGAGGAAGGGGCTAGAGATCTACCACATCCTGAATTCCTACTGTATGTCTTTGTGGGAAGAAGATGTCTTACAAGACACTTCAGTGGAATGGGGTTTGGTGACACCTGGTGAGGGTCTTGCAGACGGATTTTTGGTGAAGTTTCCAGTACTCACCAGCCCTTTCTAAAACTGAATTTGGGACAAGTTTGTCTACCAGGACATTTTTTAATACAGCCCAGTCCTCACCACAGGAAAAGGCAATTCATCCTCTGTAAGAGTGAAGCATGAACTTAACACAGATTTAAAATGCTTACTTCCCCAAGCTCCACCACTTATCTACCACTCTATGAGCAGAGAGCAGGAATCTCCTCTCCTTCTTATATTCAGGGCTCTTTATGTCCTCTGGGAAAAACTTTTGGGAAAGAGCTACTTTTGGTTTCAGTGATGTGTCTCTGAGCTGAGGTCAGTGTTGGCACTACTAATAATTATGGTGTTATAGACTTAAAACAAAGTGAAAGTGTAGGAGTATTTCCTGTTAGCTTTTGAAAGGAAGAACATCCTGGACAGATTCCCCTGACTAAAAAGCAGAAGGAACCTGTGAAGCAGAAATAATAGTAAGGTCTAGGTAAAGCTATCCCAGCACCATGAACTGCTGCAGGGATTTTGGTCATGACTCAAAACACACGCAAGGATTTCCAGAAAGCAGTTCAGCAAAGCAAAGATATGACAAACAAATAATACATAATACAAAGATGATAGGTATTCCTAGGGTAATTTTTTTCAGGATATAGGTACGAAGTTTCCATGCAAGATACAAAAGCCAATGAAAGAGCTAATTTCTCAGCAACACCACTTAGTGCTTGCCAAAAGTAACTGTGTCCTGTTAAAACCTGGCAAACTAGAGAGAAAAAAGAATCCCATTTTCTTTGTGGGTTTTTGGTTTTTTTTATTGTTGTTAATTAGGGCATTTATGCAACAGGACATCAAAAAAGTTCATTTGGTGCCTTTGAAAATCATCTGGAGCTAGCATACAAAGCTTATAGTTGCAATTCTCATCTTGCTTTAATCAGGTGTAAAACCAGCCTAATTGAAAGGACACAAGTGATGAATCACCATCTGGAGGTACCTGCACAAATGACAGTCTTAGCACCCTTCTCAAAGAAATTATGAGCTTCTGGAAGAAGTTTGTTTCTGAACTTGAGATCCCTGATCCTCAGCCACCCAGAGCATGGCTGGGACAAACTGCTAGGTCCTTCGAACCTCTATGGCCAGGCTTCCTTTCCATCAGAGGTAGGGAGGCGGAAGCTGTGCCCATCAGATGAGTTCTGCTATGAAGTCGGTACACAGCCAAGGCATGTACTTGGACCCGGGAACACAAAAGCACTCCTAAGCACCATATTTTTCACATGTTTTACATGGTGATACTGATGTATCACCAAAGCCTTCACCATTGAAAACCTATATAGAGAACAGAGAGTATGTGTTCCTGTGAGCATTTGCAGAGGGAGAACGCTTCTAGAGATCTTGAAATTTTCCAAATTATGGAGTATGCTGTACTAAATAAAAGTACATACTGCTAAGAAAATAATAGAGAACAAAACATGCAGCATCGTCTGGCACTGTGGAAATTTATTTTTCACCTATATCTGGATTATCATATGCTTATCCGGTCCCCCCTGAGTCAGGAAGAATATAGTAGATCTAGGAAAACAGCATAAGGACAACAAGGTATGAAAATACCAGTAGAGATTAGACAGGCTACGATCCTTGTTTGGAAAAGATAAACTTTATAGGGGAACACAAGGGAGCAGGATAACGAATGGCAGAGGGAAAGTGAATGGGAAGCAGTTATTTCTCTTCTTTACAACATAAGGCATCAGAGGCATTGAAGAAAACTTCCAAGCAGATGTTTTATAAGAATAAAAAAATAAATTTTCCACACAACATAATGAAGCTGTGAAATTTACTGTCACAAGATGTTGCAGATGAGTATGAAGAGATCCAAAAGTGATTACATAAATTCTTGTAAGAAACATTCATTGAGAAATGTCAGTCACAAAGCTGTAAATATAACCTCCTGCCCAAGAAGTCCATAAACCATAGCTTGCTGGAAACTGTAAGTGTATTTCAGAGGATTAGCATGCACATGTCCAGACTTTGTATAATTCCCCTAAACAGCTGCTCATTATTTTGATGGACATCCTTCCCTCTCAGTGCCGAGTACAGCCAGTCACATGTTCTTCAGGTATTTTAGGCAAGCAGCTCAAGAAGAAACTGTTCTAGGGATAGTGTTCTAAGAATAAGAATTTAAATTTTACTAGATCTTTAGTGTGACAGGTGCTAGGGGTATTCTTCATTCCATCACACTAATTCACTATAATTTTCAAAAGCTCAGAATGCAAATAAAGCACCTGAGGTTTTTTTGTTCTGCTTCAGATTTAGACTGTTGCTAGTTTGTTCACAGGGGGAGGAAATTTGTGAGAAACAAGCTGCAAATTGAAAAGTAGTGTAACAAATTACTAGATGACAAAGAGCAGAAAGGTTAGAGAAAAAGAAACAATACATCCTCACATTTCGTTTGTGATGTCGTTTGTGATTATACTTTATACTTGGTAGCAAGAGCTCGTACACATGTAGGCATGTATGTAAGTATAGACATACACATACATACCTCAAATTCTCCTTTTCAGTCCTGTACGAACAACAACCTGGATCCAAGATGCACGCAGCTCAGGTTGTAATATGTGATAAGATTTGAAAAGGAGGGAGAGCATCTCACGTGAAGATAACCTAGCACAGAGACTTATGCAGACAGTTCCACCGTAGCCTGCATGACTCTCCATCCCTGATGTGGGGATCCCCATTTTCACATCCATGTTCCAGTTTCTTAATCACCCACCCTGTCCAACAGGAAGCACACTGTGCATGCAAACCAACACAGCTGAAGACTGGGACCGTCCATTGGAACCCCTGAACATGGCAGTGGTCGCCACGAGTAGGTGCAAGAAGCTAACCAGCAACAGAGGAAGGATTTATTGCAAGAGAGGCAGGAGAATCCCCAACAAGGCTTTGGAGACAAAACCGTCATCCCTTGAGACTGTGTGAGGGAGTTGGTTGCTTTACCACAGATGTATAAACTTTTTCTGCCTTCTTAAAGTTAGTGTGTGCAGGAAATTCCTGCGGTTTCTGTAGTTATTTTGCACAGGATTCCTGAAAAATGCAACTAAAGTCTCCAGAGTGCCACTCAGAGAAGGTTTTCTAAAAGGAAAACCTAAGCAGTAGGAATGTGCAACCTGTCCTCACAAGGGAGTTGGACACTGGTTGCAGAGAGGGTGCAAGCATATAGATTGTGAGCTGAAAGCAAACATCCCTCCCAGCATAGACCCAGAGGCAGTAGTAGTCAGTAATTGGAGCCCCTTGTGATGGACATGTGCCATTTAAGAAGCAGCATCATAAAGCCCAGGATCATAAACAACCTCTTTACTCCATTCAGTTATGACTGCTTTGTGTCACAAAAGATACTAAGGTTCTTGGAAAACTAGTATTTCCAACTACTTTGAAAGCCAGACCAGTGGCCGTGGCCTGGAGAAAAGATTCAGATTTTCCCAATGCTGGTATAGGGGCATGCTGGGTATGGGATTATCCAGGCAATTCCATCATTTGCAAAAGCCAACCTTATGCTTCAATCTACTAAAGAAAACAAAATTTAGAGCAACAAACATGTGAAGTACTTCAGCGTAATCTGGAGGCAGTGCAACTTCCTTACCGTCAGCCACCCTTTGCACTATTATAGACCAAAGAATCCAGGTTTCTGCTTCACTAGATGAAGTTCTGTTGCAACTAGAAATGTTTGGTTGGTTTTCTTTAATATTCTCCCTGGTTTTACTAATCTACTTAAAATTCAGATGAGTTTATTAAAAGCTTTAAAATAGTGACACACAAGTTAGAAGCAATGAAGTGTTCAGTCATCAAAGCACCAGCAGGCAATAGAAGTTGGGTTTGAACTCTGGAACAAAAATATTGTGATTTGAGCTTCTTTCCAATGACAGATACCAAACCACAAATGACTGGCAGCATAAACAAGAGTAGTATCATTAGCTGTGGGGACATGGTGCAGTGAGAGCCTCGCAGATTATTTTTTCGTGACTGTCCTTTGACAGAAAATTGCATACTTCCACAATGCTTGCTTGTCCCATTCTATCAGAACACTTAGTGTTTTCCAAACTCTAGTAGAAGTGAAAACATGCTAAATGTTGCTTTTATTCTGGAGCTAAGAAAGAGAAAGAAACAGATTAAAACATGTCATGGCCTCATAGACACATGTATTTTATATGCACTCCTATAGTGTAAACAACCTTTTTTTGCAGGAACTCTCCTATCCTGCTCTTGAAACTACTTTCATTTCCCTCTTAAGTTGTTTTAGCTCCCCACCTGTAAAGCTTATAATGAGGATGTGATGCTGACACCTAGAGGGACATAGGTAGTCTATAACTCTCAGAATGTGTTTCTTAATAAAGCGTCTGTTTAAACTGAGAAGTGAAAGCCTGTAATGCAATAGTCCTCCTATAAATAATCTATAAGGTTAGTGGACACATTACAATGAATAACCAATAATAGTTGGTTTTCCAGCAATCCAGTTTAATAGTTTCTTCATATGTCTGTGTTTATACATCAAATGAACTTCCAACAAAAAAGTAATGTACAATTCAAGAAAATACCCAAAGCTATTACAGTTTTGGCTTCCTCTTTGTTGATCTACAGTTATGTACAGGACTCTCTCATTTGCAATACCCAGTGAAGATGTAATGATTTATTTACAACATCAGCTGGTGCCTTTCACTATGTAATTGAGCTGTCTCCTTTTGCTATTTGCATTCATAGTAGTGAGAACCACCCTTAGGTGCTTTTTATGGATAGGATTTAGAGGTGGACTGAAACAAGGCAGGACTCTCACTACCGACCACAAACGTAGCTCTGAAATCCCATTTTCAGATATAGCTGAAGGAAGATTCCAGTGCATAGTGCACTGATACAATCATTATATTTACAGTCAACAGTATCTTCACTGAGAATAACATTCCCATTCACATTAGGGAGAGATAAGTGCAAGCTGGAGACAGTATATATTTTAAGGTGGAGCAGGCAAAAAGCATAACTCTGGTGCCAAAGACGCACCTTACTTATCCTGCCAGAAACCTCCACAGCAAATGATGACATGAAGTATGTTATCTTTCTATATGTGTGGAGAGGAATATTTTACAATTCTTCTTACCTAAGAGATTAAATGAAGAGGGTAACAATTATAATTTTATCATAATATGCTAACTTTTTCATAGAATCACAGAATAACTTGAGTTGGAAAGGAATTGTGAAGGTCATCTATTCCTAATAATTCAAAGCAGGGCCAACTTCAAAGTTAGAGTCCACTTTAAATTTAGAGCAGACTGTTCAGGGTTGTGTTCTGTCAAGTTCTGAATATCTCCAAGGATGGAAATTGCACAGCCATTGGGCCCCTGTTCCCACGTTTGACCACACTTATGGTAAAAAAAGATTCCTAACATCTAATCAGGACTTCCACCTTGAAGGTATAACCTGAGGCCCATTGATTAATTGTAGTCCTTTTATTGACAGCAACAGTTTTAGAGCATCCCTAAACCAAGTATAACAAGGGTTATTTTTTCAGCTTCTTGAAAGAAATAATTCATTTTTCCACGCTATTTTCTGATATCTACTCAGTAGGGTACCACTGCTTGAAATTTTTTCATAGCTTATACCGCAGTGCAAGATATTGACATCCATTGGCATCAAAAAACCAATGCCACAGTTGCACTTCCTTCATCTGTGATAAATCCAATATCTTGTACATTACACAGCTATGGCAGAACAGCATGTTAATGAGAGCATGACTAGATGCAAATTATTGACACAAAAGACATGGAGGATTTCACCTCAGAGTCCTCTCAACAAAGATAAAAACTGTTTGGGGAGCAAAAGTCAGTGCTCTCTGCTACAGCTACATATGCCTGAGTTTTTTAAATCCCTGTTTTGCCATCACCTGCTATGCCTTCTGGTCATCAAACTTGTTTTTTCTCTCTCAGCTTGAAAGATGCCATTTACGGTACATCTTCCTCCACTAACAAAAGCTACTCCTAGCTGAAACATTTTTCTAATGTCTATATAAAGGCAGCCACTCACCAAGTCTTTCCATCTCCACAAAACATTACATGACTCTAGAGGCCATGTACCCTTTATTTCCCTAGACCCAGCAAATAAAGGAAACAGACAAACTAGAATAATCCCAGTCTTTATATTCAGCCTTAAAATCCACCTATGGTACAACCTATCCCACAGTAACAAGAACACATATAGCCAGACACGACAAAGAACTGGATCCAACACAGAAAATCATGTGGTAACACTGTCCTCTTACGTAATACATATTTTATGACAGTAACAGTCATGATTGGAATACAAGACTGCTTGATATGTGTGTATATATTGATCGCAACTGTTGAGTGAGGTATGTGAATCCTGATAATTGGAGCTACTTCTCTGATTTCATGTCTTCAGAAGGAAATAGCAAAAAACCTGTTGATTCTGGGCATCAAAATAAGCCATGCTGTATCTAGAGAGACAAAGAATATCAAGAGAAACACACTCTTAGAGGCTGATGGGCTCATTTGTATGTCAGATCTCACTCATTCGGTAGAAAGAAAAATAAGACTTTCCCTGTATAATCCTCTTATAAGATCCAGTCTTCAGTAGGGTAAATGAGATTCAAAATATTCTTTCATCCCATAATACACACTGAGTAGCTCCTACCACCAGTGTGAGAGAGGTGTGTGGAGGCAAAGAACAGTAGAATCACATAATAAAAAATGGTTTCTCATTGCCACAGAGGTCATGACAGCTGAATGGAAAAAGGTGTTCCATAGGCATTTCAGCAGGATTACAAGATGCAGCAAGATGTTGCATTTCAATTTTGTTCCCTGGTTTGGCTTTGTTTTCTTAATACTTGTTTGATAACCCACAGACCATTCTCAGGCTATAGCAACAAATTATCTCTTTGAAGGTCTTCCTCATTTCTTGGCTACGAAAGGCATAGATCAAGGGATCGATCACTGAGTTGCACATAATGAGAATGAGGTACATGTTGAAGTGGGACATGAAGCAAACACAGTAGAGGTTTTGAGGGCAGGAGATCATCAGGATGAGATGAAGGAAGAATGGAGCCCAGCAAACAATGAAGATGCCAAGAAGCATAGTCAGAGTGATGGCTCCTTTCATGCTGGTTCTTTGACGGACCGAGTTGTACCCAGGCAAAGCAGCAATTTTCTTCACGTGAGTACGAGCCAAGAGGAACATATGGATGTATAGCGAGACCATGAGGAACAACATGGTAAAAAACATAGTGATGAGACAAATGATCACATAAGTTGATTCATAATAAAGAATGAAGATAATGCCACAGCCCGTGCAAAAGGTCCAGATGCATGCAATAATAAGCCCTGACCTTTTCACTGTCATGATGTTGTGATAACGAAGAGCATAGAAGATAGTGATATACCTGTCTACTGCTATAGCCAGCAAACTGCACATGGAAGCCACCACAGATATGCAGATCATTGAATCAAAGACATTGTCTATATGACGGACAAAGGCATCTTCCATAATTATGTGTCTATTGTTTATTAAGTATATCGTTATTGTCTCCCAAGCATTAGACACACTAACCAGCATGTCAGCCACTGCTAAACTGCAAACAAAAAAATACATGGGCGAATGCAAGTTCTTGTTCTTAACTATTGCACATATAACTAGGATATTTTCCAGGAGGCTTACAATGCCCAGAGTTAGAAACACCTCAGCTGCAATGACCACTTGCTCACATGGTGATGACTTGCTCTTGACAGTAGGCACAGTAAAGTTGCTGCCAAAGGCACTCAGGTTTAGTTCAGAAACATACAGTTGAGAGGACGTGTTCATCTCTAGAAGCAAACACGTTCTGTTCTTTCCGAGGGACTTGCCAAGGCGTGCAGTAAATGCATTTTCCAAAAGGCAAGAGACCCTGCCAAAAAAAATATAGCATGACGAGAACAGGCAGAAGTTGACAAAACAAATATCATCCATTTCTATTTAATTTGGCTTGTATACATCCTGCCTCTTCTACACCATATTCTACTGATTCTAAATTAACCTCCAATTGGCTGAGTTTTTCTGTCCATCCTTAGTGCGAAATTAAAACCACAAATTAATGAAGTCGCTCATGGACTCTTCATTCACAGTTTTGTTTATTCTGTTTGGTCACCCAGAAGCGAGCACAATGTCCTGGAAATTCTGCTGAACACCAAAAAACAAACAGTTCTCAAAATCTCAGTTCTTAGACTCCAGAAATGCAGGAGAATACAGTATTAGGTTCTGCAGAACCTGATCATTTGAACACAATATGTAGAAGTTTGAATTATTGCCACAATTGAGAACTGAACATTTTCAGTAACAGATTTAAATGCTTTCCTGGGCTTTGTACTTTTTAAGTTCACGTGAACTGTGTTATAAACAGTTTATCTATGCAATACTAACATGTCACTTAAGAACATAGTATTAAACACCTAACAAAGACAAATCCATACACTTTAGGGTGCATTAAGGTTACAAAATCAGTATGGGTGGAATTCTGTCATAAAAAATAAGTTTTCTATTCCAGATCGTGAGTATTTTATTCAATGCTTTTTTGGTAATGACAATATTCAGAGCAAGTTGTTAGCCATTGGATTCTTAATAAGGGAAACACTTAAAGCTGATTGTCAGTGGCTTTGCAAATAAAATTCAAAGCATATCAAGCTAAAGGATTTTCAGTTTTTAAAAGTAACCTTTTGTTTGCAATCAAGTATTAACTGTACCTATTTACCAGAGTTGCTCCTTCAGCTTCTCTTCCTCTTCATCACCTGCAACCTTTCCTCCAGAGAGCAGAAGTTTCAGCCCCCCTCCTCACCCGACATCTGGGGCTGGGGACTCCTTGGTGGGAAAGGATGACAAAAAAAGAGGAAAAGGAATGAGTAAATCCATAGAGTCAATGCTGACCACGTATAAATTACTTACTGTGCAACTGCCTTTTTATAGACTCCAAGCAATAATGACTTCAGTACTAAAACTGTGGCTCCTCCCCTTCTTTGCCCCTCTGAACTTCTCTTTTCACAGATGTTGTTAGCAAAGGCTTGGGTTTTTACCACCATCTAGTGGTCTTCTCTTGTCTTTCTAGCTGAAAAGTGATTCTGATATAAAATTCATTATGAGCTTTTTATAATATTTAAGGAGAAAATGCACTAGGCATGCTCCTTAGCAAAAACATTTCTTTTTTGTTTTCTGCACTGTTGCTAGTACTCATTAAATTCATAAAGGACTAGCACTCAAAAACAGGAGAGAGCAGAAGACACTTATTCAAGTGGGAGGCTTATTACTGTTATAAGCATTTTTCTTATATTCACAGTTATAATTTTGCATTAATAAGAACCACATCGTTAGAAAACTCAGAGAACATACAGTCAACCCCATCACACCACTAATAGAAGATATAATTCAAGTAATTTGTGTGGAAAAAAAATAGAACAAAAAAATCGTTTTCTTCCAATCTCCTTGCTAGAATAGAGATTTCAATGCAGAGGTGGAAGGAGTAGACAGTGCATCGTGCCAGGAACCAGAGCTCCCTGAAATGGATGTGAATTGCTGCAGATATCACAGGGTCTAAGAGCTGGGAACCTCAGTTCCCAGTGTTGGAATGGCTGAAGTCCCTCTGTGGGTCTAGCAGTCAGGGAGCTGATGCTCATTATGGGCCTTACCCAAAAGGTGGCAAAATCCATGCAAGACTTTTCTTTAGCAAATGGGCTCTGCTTCTGTGTGCAGACTGAGGCATGCAAAGCCCACACTTTCCTGACCCTACAAAATGCCCTTTATGTTATCCGCTAACCAGCCAGTCAAATACCATGCAGGATTTGAAGTTAGCTTGGGAATAAAATGTCCCTCCAAATCACCACCTTTCCTCAAATTAGGGGGTCAGGGTTTTTTCTTGGTGTATAACAGCTTCAAATGCTTATTTTTAACATACAACATTTTTTCTTAAAGAATTACCACCGACAAACACAAACTTTATTGCTGCATCCTATGTCATTTTTGATTTTTCAGTGTTCGGATAGAGTTTATCATTATAATGCAACTAAAGGCATATTTCTAATTATTTTATTCTACAGAAGCCTCCTCTATTGTTACTATTAGCTTCACTGTGGGGACACTGAAAGGCCTGGGTCATTGTTCTGATGTACAAATAGTCCCTACACCAAAGGATACAGTGAAAAGTATTTTTATTAATTTGAGTAAAATAGCTCCTATAACATTATGCACTTATAGTCTAGAGTTGAATTTTGCACGCCCCTTCTGCCCACTACAGGAAACAGAATTTAGATTATCACAAAATAGAGATAGAAAACTATGCACAAGTGCAGCTGTTAGATCAGAGCAGTTAGTGCCAGCTAGTGAACAGTAACACTCCCTGCTGTATCCAACATGTCTGTGTGCCAGACCAATGCTCATAGTTCTTTGCTATACCCAAAAGGAAAGAATGCTGGATGCCCATCTGCACTTCTCTCTCTGTTCTTCAATGTACAGTATGTTTTAGTTCTCCTAGGTTATCTTTAGCTAACTCATCTTAGTTATCTTTGGTTACCTTTTGCATAGTTTTTATATTTCCCTTGCAGACCCTGGAAATCATATAACTAAAAGTAAAATTTTACTTCTTTCACTGTTCCTATATATACCAAGAATCGTGCAGATGCTGTGCTTATTCCACTTCTAAGTATTTCTCTTCCAGTAGACTGTTTTTTTGTTTAGTACACTCTCTTTTTAAACTCTGTTCTCATTTACAAATTCCTGTGGATGTTCAGTTAAATAAAGTTCTTTTTTTTGCCCAGCTTAACTGCCTTTACAAAAGTTCTCACTGTACCTGGTAGTACTCAGTAGACCAGCTGATTACAAGAAATAAATCACACATCAGACTGGATGGTTTGGCTGTTATTCCTCAGAGCAATGCCAGGTCTCTCACATATAAATTATGAATCAGCCTTTGGATTCTACTTCTACAGTCCAAGTGTAAACCCTGTGTCTGTGCTAGACAAAGAAAATCCCTTATTTACAAAGCAGAAAAAGTACCTGCCTGGGAAGTGGGGTAGTGATATAGATATAGTTTGTTTATCTTAGAGGATGAAATTTAAAAAATGCTTTACTTTTTTTTTTTTTTCCTAAGGGAGTTTTATCACTATATTGCTGCAGCAAGAAGCTATAAGCATAACAGCTTGAGAAGCATAACAGCTGAAGGAGCACCCAATTAGCAGTGGGTGGAGGCACGCAGGTGAGTTATAAGGATTGTAAGTTCAGGGACATGGGGGCAGATCTTTGGATTCTCCCAAGTAAACTCCAAGAGCAGCTTCACATCCCAGCTGGAGGACCCCTGACTGAATAGGCTGGTCTTTCAGATGCTCATGATCTTGGTGTTTGGCCCCCTGTTTGTTCAGTTAAATAAATTCTCTGTGCCTACAAACAGGTTGGTGCTCAGTGTTTTCCAAGGCCGCAGAGATCATGTCGTTCATCTCAGCAGCCAGTCCGGCACAGAGCCTGTGTTGGTATTTAGGCATTGGGCTGTGCTGACACAGCACAAGACCTGATCCCTTGAGTGCACACAGAGCGGGCACCCTGAGGAACACACTGAAGCCTCTGTCTTGTCCCCAAACTGGCATTTTCTTTCCACACAGATGGAAGGAGGGAGGTTGGACTGGGGCCTTGGGCTGTGGGTGCACAGGCCTCCCTGCAGCGTAGAAACAAACACAGCCGGGTCATACACCAAGGGGCCTGGGTCTGGAGCTCCTGGGAGCGCTCCTGAAGTCTATGGGCTACATATAGCTGAAAGCAATGCTAAAATTCATCTTCAGGAAAGGGTGTTTTGTTCATGTAACATCTTATGTGGTGCAAGAAGAACACTAACTGCTCAAAGTCTCTATTTCACTGAACTCAAGAGTTTGCTTTGGGCCACAGGCAAAAAGATCAAAAGTGCCTTAGAAGGCCATCCGTGAACACAGGGAAGAAGTAAAATACGATGGCAACAGGGAAAGAGATGTCAAGGCCTGTTTCAGTCCCACGCCACGTGACGCAGTGAGAGGGAGCAGAAAGCCACTCCAGTCACATATCTGCCTCGTGGGCTCTGTCAGCGACCAGCGCAGGAGCCCTGACAGGAACACACAGCCCCTGCCTGCCACCAGCACCACCAGCACCACCAGCCATGGCGACAGGCTCCCCTGGGCCCGCTGGGGACCCGAGAGGCCGTGACTACCCTGACCCACAGGCCAAGTTACATCATGACAAAACCAGCAGGGAATTGCACTGACACCTTCAGGACAGCAAGGTACTGATTTTATCAATGAATGTATAAATGAGGCCAGTGGTAAATTTCTGTAAGAAGAGCTTATTCCACACAGATGCATTCTGGTATTAATCTGTGCTAATCTTAACAGGTTCAGAGAATAGTTTTACTGAAGCTAATACAAATCTACCCGACTTGTGTGGTGCTAATACATTGTAGCAATTTAATTCCAGTGTCCTTCTGTAGCTATTTTGGTCTGTTCAATGAAAATACATTTGTCCTTCATAATGTAGCTTTGGATTGGCACTCTTGGCCTATTTACAAAACCTCGCTTCTGTCTACCCCTTGCCTATGCTGTCATTAACATAGTATTTCAGAGCCACAGGGTATCCTCTCAGACTCCATTCTGCTCCAAGACATAACCCATGGATCCAAAAGCAAAGGTCGTGGCCTTCTCTGTATTTGGATATATATAATAACATAACAAATGTTCTCTGACTTCTCAGACTGAGAAAACTATTTCTCTTGACCTCTGCACTGAGTAGCTTTGGCTGTGCCCCACTGTTACCTCCCCAGAATTATCATCCAGTTAGCCTGTAATAAAGACAAGCAATTAATCCAGACTAAAACCAAAACGCATCTATCCTTCCTGTCTTTACATAATAAAGCTGTATGAAGATGCAATAGTTCAGTCCCCTCACCAGTCCAGGGGAATGCTGAAAGCCCAAAGGTTAGGTTTTTGAGGTAAGCAGTGGTATGGTGAATACATTGCTTTACATTGTGGCCCTAATCTTCAAAACGACACTTGAATATTTTTTGCAGGAAGAATCACAGAAAAGCGAGTCTGCAAAAAGTACATCAAAATATCATGTAAACTGCCCTGTCAAAGGGTGAGATCAGCCATACTTAGTATGACTGCACTAATACTTCTAACCATCACCCCTTTTATTTGAGTGCTTAAAAATGGTTTGAGAAAATCTCTGGTCACTCTCAGTTAGTACCTGTCAGTGGTGCTTCTCGCATCAGAGTAGAAAGCTGTGAAAAATACAATACAGTATAAAAGGCATTTTAGAAAGACGTATCCTAATAACCTAAACTGGGTGATGCCATAACTAGCCCCCTAAACTGTAAAGGGGTAATAAGAGGTTTAGTAACCTTCATTTTTATGTGCCTTCTAATGCAAGCCAATTCCAGTAATGAATCACTCTCTAACGTTTTATTAGAGCATGGGTCAGCAATACAGACCTGGTGAATCATAAAGAAATGCCAGCTACAGACTCTAAAAAAGCACAAAGGACTGATGAGAGACTGTAGAGACTTTCTGACAGAAAGGAGGGGTTATTCAGTAATGGACAAACAGATAGGGAAAAATAAAACCCACCACTTTGCAGGTTCTTATTGGACACTACTATCTACAAGAGAAAGGAAAATGGCTTTTGCTAGACCACAGAGAAGATTCAATATGTCTTTACCCATTAGAATAATTATTAAAAATAAGTTATTAAAATGTTACTTTAATTACATATTATAAGACATTCCATATCTTATTTCTGCAAGTTTATGTTGCAGCATGGCAAAGACAAGCATTGAGCATATTGTTCATTTGTTTCATAAAATGCTTGTGCATGAGAATACTTTTTTCTTATAAAACACTGCTAATCTGTTGTGTAATTCAAATCCTCAGTGAGACTTCAGTGTTTGAATATTTTAACTTTGTTAGAGTGAT